CAAGAAAACAACAGCCCCCAACCAACCAACCAAAAACAACACCAGCCGTAATAATACGTCGCGTCATCCAAAGAAGTGGGGCCCTTTTCCCGACGATAAAGTCTTTCTCAAGGAGTCTGTTCACAAAGCAGAGGGGGACGCTCAAGTCGAAGGCCAAAGAGAAATGACATGTACAATACGTTAAAGGGACTTCAAAGTCCACTGACATCGCTGCTCGAACGTTCATCAAACCTTTCCGTCATTTCGAGCAGGCACACTATAACATAATATAATGATTAGTGATATTTAGCGACAGAAATAAGCGGGTAAGCGAGAAGCGATCAGGAAGGGAGGATCTTTTTTTTTTTTTTTTTTTTTTTGGGGGGGGGGGTGTTAAGGTGATCAGGGGATGTACGTGCATATACACGTAGCGGTAGCCATCTAGCCATCTAGCAGTTGCATCAGAGAGGCAGAGACTTTGGCATGCCAGTATTTTTGTATGAGTTTAACGTCCTACTAGACACAGATACGTCACTTCCAAGGCAGGAATGTCAGTATTTTCACCCAAACTGACATACCGGAAGAGAAATGGGTTATTCTGACGACATACAATACATGCCTGTAGTTTTGTGAGAGTTCAACGCCATACCAGACACGATGTATTACAGATCATTTCCCAGGCAGAGGCATGCCGGCACGCACGAATGACCTACCCCTCTGGACGGCTGCATGTGCAGAAGTAGAGGTGCCGCGTACTGGTGAAGTAGATGTGGCAGCACCCCTCCGCCCTGCTGGTGATGATGGTGGTGAAGATGATGGTGATGATGAAGGCCTGTCGGCGTTGTCGCGGGGGTGGGCCGGGACGGGTGGAGGTGCAGGCACTGTTGCTGCTGCGGGGGCGGGGTCGTGGAGGAGGCTGGGGCGGTGCCCTGGTGGGCGGTTGGCGGGTGGAGGAGAGTGTGGCTGCTAAAGCTGCTGCCGCTGCAGGTGGTGTTCAGGGTGGTCGGACGGCGGTTGGTGTGTTGTTGTTGTTGTTGTTGTTGTTGTTGTTGCTGCTGCTGCTGCTGCTGTTGAGATGACAGGTTGTTCTGATGGGAATACTGTTGTTGCTGTTGCTGTTGTTGTTGTTGTTGCTGTAGGTAGTGGTGATGGAGGTTATGTGGGTGGTGCTGATGTTGTGGATGACTGTCGAGGCACTTCCCGTAGCTGCCCCTTCGTTGGCTCTCGGATGATGATGATGATGATGAAGATGATAATGTTTGTAACTGTGGTTGCTGCTGCTGGTTTTGATGAATGTGTTGTAGGCGCCATGTGGGTAACCCAGCGACCGGCGGACCGCCGCCGCTACCATCAGCGCTGTTGACCACAATTGTGCTGCTGTCGTTGTCCGAGGAGCCTGGCGTGAGGGTAGCGGTTGCCACAGCGACGCTGCCGTTGCTACCACCACCACGGACGTCGTACGGGGCAACAGCAATGCTCGCCGTGCTGATGTTGTTATTGTTGTTGTTGCTGCTGCTGCTGCTGCTGCTGCTGATGTTGATGTTGTTGCCGTGATTGTGTTGGCCGCTGTCGGTGGAGGCAGTGGTGAGGGTGCTGATGGTGTTGGTGTTACTGCCACCGCTACCACCACTGCCAGGTCCGACCGCTCTCAGGTGAACGGCGTCGATATGCGTCAACAGAAGATCAACATCCACGGAGCGAGGCATAGCTGAACGTTAAGTCCAGCTATACGCTAAAGATGTCAGAGAAAAAACCCCGCTTATAAATATCTACTCCAAATGATTCTTACCAGAGTTCTTCCGCGCTGAGAGACGCTGATTCTTTGTGAAGAGGTCAAATCCAAACGAGTGACCTGACCGACGTCTAAAGGACCATAACCTTGACCCCGGCGGTTGGCCAGAAGCCACGTGTCGACGTCACACTCAGGGACGCAAGCGGCGGGGAAGTTCCAAACCCGCGCGACAGTGAACCTCTTTGGTTATCGACCTTGAACTTGGTAGTAGTCCCACATGACTAGCCTATGGCTCAGCAGAGTGGTTCTACAGTGCCTGGAGACCTAGGTAACTCTGGTAGAGTTCCGGAGACCCCGGGATCTGACTACTAGTTCCGCACGCTACTCTCCGGGTTTTTTTTTTAATAAGGCCGCAGTGACACGACCTTGACCGTGGTGCGAAAAGCCCTCGACCCTTAACCCTGAAGAAGAGTCACGTGCCGGAGCGACGGTCACGTAACCACCAGGCCGCGGGGTCGCAGGTCACAGGGGTCACGTGACGGCACTCAAGGTCACCGGGAGCACACGTCACAGGGGTACGACCAGGTTCCAGCGCCATAATCCCGCGTCATGTGAGAGGCACGACATGTACCCCCCGCCCGGCACACCACGTACCTACACACTCCCACGTCCAGAAAAAAAATGGGCCGCAACAGCAGCAACAACAGCAGCACCGGCGATAAGTCCTGCTCTGTCCAAGTCTATTCTGTCTCAACGTTGTACGGGGGCGAAACTTGAGAGAACAATACATCAGAACACATGAGACCAAAAAGGCGGGTATTCATAACCCATCAGACAAGTCCCAGACTGGGGTCGTTTCTTTTTCGTTTGCGTAAAGCGAAGCGCGTAGACACAATGACGGGTTAAGACGTGTGCGCAAATTATAGGAAGACTTCTACAGACAAGACAGAAATAGCAGAGGGAAGGAAATGAAGTAGGACCTGACTGTGGCGCAAAACAATACACCCCGCGCGCAGGCTGATCATCGTTCTGTCGCTGTCAGTCAAACTTTCCATACACACGCCTTACCAGCTTTTGTACAGTGGACTCGCATCAAGTTGGAAAACTCACGCACGAGCGCGCGTGCACACACACACACACACACACACACACACACACACACACA